AAAAGTTAACCCTAACAACCATATTTTTTTCCTCAACTTTTTAATCCAAAAAGTCAAAAAGGGCCCTTATTTAGGACATTTCAAACAACCCCTTTTAATACTTCTTATTGATATTCATTAGGATTGTTATTAGCAAGACCTATAACTAGGAGTGAGCAGCGGATATACCGATCTGTCTAAACCGACCGAATTGAACCGATCAGCCGCATTTTGGACGAATCTGTGATGACGAGTGGATGGTTGCGGATTGATTTCTTCTAATCCGCCTAGTTTTGGACGGATGGCGGATTTGAAGTTTCTTTGGCTGCAACTGAACCGCGAAACCGTGAACACCCCTAGTAATTTGTAAAATTTTGTATTTTCAATTTGTTTAGATATTCTATTTGTGTTTTCAATTGAAAAAGAGTTTAATATTCTGTTGAAAAAGAGTTTTCAACTTGAATATATTTTTTGAATTGAAAAAAATGAATGTATTATTTATCTATATTTTTTGGTTTTTAAATCTAACTCTAAAAATAATAAATAAAAAAATGATATATGCTGGTTGGTTTTTGTTTTCAAAAATAGATATAGACGTAACAATACAGAGGCATACAATATCTACTACTGCTCTGTTCATGGTTTTGATGGTTTGAATTGTTTTTATATTTTAAGAACTAGAGATTGTAATATTTTATGTGGATGAGGTACGCTGTGATTGTAATTTGTAGATGAGACATGCAGTGATTGTAATATTCTAAAGTTTCAAGCTTTTTTTCTTTGGATGAGGCATGCAGTGATTGTAATACTTTTTTAAGTCATTGACTCTTAATACTTTTTTTTTCTCTCGAGGAAGTGCACAAGTTGAATTATGTTTAAAATTTATAAAATTTTAAACCGCCAAATTGATTCGCATCCATCTGTCAATCTGTCAATCCGCTCAATCCACATCCATCGAATTGGCAGACGGATGTTGATTGATTTTTTCTAATTCGCTAATTTGACGGATGAATGATAGATTATAGGTTCCGTGGCCACAATCGACCCGTGCCCACCCCTATCCATAACTATACACCAATATGTATTAAAAAAAATGTGGACAATTTTGTAATACATACCTCAAAAAAGGTGTGTTTTGTTTGCCCTAGTTATGACCTTTATGTTATTATGACTTATTAGTAAGTGCAAAAGATCATCATATAACGTATTATTATCCTCGAAAATGAATATGTGTGTCATACATGACTTGATTGCATTTAAATCTTAATAGAATTCTAATGAAAGGAATTTAGTATAATAAAATAATATTTTAAATTGATTTATTGTTGAGTTTTGAAGTTTACGAGGGCAAACTGCAAATGATTTAATATTTAAGGAGAGTAATTACAAATATAAAAATATTATATTAAAATAGACTATTAATCCAAATAGAGTAATGTTAGAAACTCACACATTTTAATAAAATTCTAATGAAAGGAATTTAGTATAATAAAATAATATTTTGAAGTGATTTACTGTTGAGTTTTGAAGTTTACGATGACAAAGTGCAAATGAATTAATATTTAAGGAGAATAATTACAAATATAAAAATATTACATTAAAATAGACTATTAATCCAAATAGAGTAATGTTAGAAACCAATACATTTATGCTTATAAATTTACCGGTAATGATGTGGCATGAGAATTGGGTTCACAATCATTAAGTGTATAATAAATTAAAAGTTAACACATATCCTGTTACATCATTATGGATACTTTTTGAGAATCGTAAACATTTTTCAAATCCAACAATAGTTAGAAAGTTAACAAATAGCAAACTTAACAGTCAATCACCAAGCTCAAGCCCAACAATCAACAATTCAATGATTAAAAAGTCAACAAACATCAGACTTAATAATCAATCACCAAGTTTAAACCCAACAACCACTAATAGTTAATAGCTAAAAAGTCAACAAACATCAAACTTAATGGAGAAAAGTTAGGAATTATGAAATTTTTTTCATGAAAATGATCATGAAAGATTTATAATCTTTGGATTACCTTCATTAGTGTGTGATGCTTTATTTTAAGTGTAATCCAATGGTCACAAAACTTTCATGATTATTTTCATGAAAGATTTTTCATGATACTTAACATTGTTGAACTTAATAATCAATCACTAAGTTTAAACCCAACAACCACTAATAATTAATATTTAAAAAGTCAACAAACATCAAATTTAAGGGTGATTCCATTTGTATTCAAATAATAACTCAGTACTTACAACTAAAATTTTAAAATTTTAGTTCTTGTTATATCCTAATTTAAATTTATTGATAAGGACACAAAACATTAAACCCTAAAAGAAAATATTATTTTTTTCTCATAGTACGCTCAAACAATTTATACGTATTTTTCATATTCAATTCTCTTCATCTTCTTTTCTAAATTTTAATTATCAATAAAAAAATAAATCTCACAGAGTCAACCTTTTCGTCTATCTTTAAAATTAAAATCAAAACTATTATTGAATCAAATTTTTGAAATTGCAACGAAACAGAGAGTGTGAAAGCTGCAAATATGTAGTCAATTTTCGAAATTGCAATGCTCCAACAAGTTTTCCTCTTTCTTTTTTTTAACCTATTTGTAAACCCCTATTCACCCACAAACATAAATTGCTAATTTTATTTCTTGAGTTTTGATCTGTTATATTTGAGAAATTTAGATTTTGTGTGGCTGAAATTTGTGTTTGGTGATTGTTATTTAATTTAGGTATCTAAAGAGGCTGAAGAGAGGCATGTATTTTGCCGTTTTCCTTTGTTGTTCTCCTTCGCTGATACCGTCGTTCCATGTATGTGAATAAAAAGAATAATTCAAATGAGAAATCTGTTTAAGATTTTTTTTCTTCAAAATTATAGAATAAATCTTATTAATAAAAGATGGAAAAGCCATCAGCAAACATCTTTCTCCATAGAGGAGTAAAGCCAAAAAGGAGGTCTGAACTTCCATATAGGAGTACCAGACAAACTCACCCCATGTCTTGCCAAACAATGTGCTACACCATTAGCACACCTTCTTACAAAACTCAACTCACAACACTTGAAATTATTCATCACGCATCTAACATCATTAATGAGTCCTTCCACATTTGTAACCACCATTGTCTCCTTCGATATCGTATAAATATCGACTTATTGTACATCACCCTCAAGGACAATATTCCAAAGTTGTAGCTTCAGTGCAAAATGTAAGCTCTCCCGTGCAGCCAAAACTTCAATGGTGAGAGGTTCAAAATTCCTCCGCATATGCATAGTTCTAGCAGCTATGAAATTGCTATGGAAATTTAGAATTTTTGATTTGTTTATTATTTGGATGTATTTTGAAGGGTAATTTAAGAAAAAAATATGAGATTTATTAAAAGTAAATTATAACCATACATAATTTAATAGTGTCTATTGAGAAGTTGAACATACTTAATAATTTTTGTAATGCAAATAGAATCCCCTATACTCAACAATTAATCACTAAGCTCAAGTCCAATAATCAATAATAGTTGAAAAGTCAACAAATATTGAACTTAACAATCAATCACCAAGTCCAAGTCCAACAATCACTAACTTAACAATCGATAACCAAGCCTAAGCTCAACAACCACTAATAGTTAATAGTTAGAAAGTTGAAAAACATCAAACTTTACAATCATTCAACAAGTCCAAACAACTACTAACTTAACAATCAATCACTAAGATTTGATAAATTCTCATTTTGATGAAAAAAATATTTCTTATTTAATTTGATGAACATTTGATAAATAAATTGGAGATGATTTTTGAATAGTATTTCATCAAATATAAATTTGATGGAAAAAAAAAAAAGATTAAGGTGTACATAGTGGAAAACTTTACATTCACCATTATAACGGTGTCATATGTAAACACTAGTGGTTATGTGAACACTAGTGATTGATACACGTGATACATGTGTAATTTAAATAAGTAAAAATAAAATAAAATATGTATTATATATTGTGTGTCATTCAAGTAGTAAGAATCTTTTCTAATAAACCAAAGGACCAAGGTTTGGATCCCACTTCTCCCATCCATCTAGTTTAGCCGTTGGTACATGTAATGCGTGTGCAATTCAAATAAGTAAGAATAAAAATAAATGATAAATAAATTAATATTATAATATGTCTATTGTCTAAGTGGTAAGAGTCTTCTAATTTAAACCAAAGTTTTTAGGTTCAAGCCTTGTGCATTTCTTTGTATAACTTTTTGTTTAAAATAGAAAAATCTGACACGTGGCATAAGGAGAAATAAAGGTTTCAGGATACCAATTGAGGCCTTTTGCTTAATATAACTAGTGGATGGCCTTTTGCTTAATATAACTAGTAGTTGGCACTCGCAATGTATGTGTAACTCAAACAAGTAAAATAAAACAATTTATTTATTATATATTGTGCCATTCTAGTGGTAAAAGTTTTCTAAAATTTCTTCAATATACCCAAGGTCCAATATTTGTGTTAGTATAATTGTAGAGAGTGAGAGAGAAAGAGAGAATAGAGAATCTTTCTATATTGAATAATATTATGTGTTATAATACAATAGAAAGTCCCTATATATAGGGTGAATAAGAGCAGACAACAAGAAATCTACCAAAAAGGAAGTCCTAAATAACGAAGAAATATAATAGAAATAATAATATTGTTGGACAATCTTCACTGTATTTAAATAGATTAAATTTTGTTGTGTACAAAACAACAACAAGAATAAAAGAAATAGATAAAAGGAGAGAATTTGTTTGATTACAAAAATCAAACATGAAATAATAATAAATAAATAAAACCACAGATTTTATTTTGTTACAAAAACAAAAAATTCTCACCTAATAATCAGAAAATTTTCATTTTCTGATATGGCTATGTAGCCATATTCTCACCTAAATATTCTCACCTACATAGCCATATTCTCACCTAAAAACACTTAAATTAGGTGAGAAGTGTTTCATTTTCTGTCATCTGCTATGAAAGTGCACAAATAAGACATCTAAAAGCTTAACACTTTCTCAACATCCAGTTAAGAGCAAGAATTTTAAGACAAAATTCCACTTACTTCTGAGCAAGGACAGGACCAGATTTCATACATCCGATATGCACCCGTGGCTTTTTCCTGTATCTTGCCAAAGTTTCTTCTAGTGTTGCTGCAACATTTACAACATCTTACCCAATGCAACAAAATAAATAAATAATTTGTAGAGTTACAAACATATATAATTTCATTTTCAAGTAAAACTTGTTGAATCAATCATATCAGTCGTAGATTTGAATTTAGAGGTTCATATGAACATGGGCATCTGAAGTTTCTACCCCGATTGGGAATTTAAAAGTTGTAACACATTGAGTGTCTTGCATCTATGTATTGGATTTTAGACCTTCATGTATGCATTTTATTTTTATATCAAGTACTAAAAACAAATTTCTTACCTATATTTACATGAACATCATCATCAACTTTGACATAAAAATCTGCATCCCATGAAGCAACAGCAGCAGCAAGATATGACTGTCTTCACATAAAAATCTACATCCCACGAAGCTTGAGTCTGCATAAAAACCCAATTCAAGTAAAATTAATACATTAAAGACTATCAAATCTTATGAATTTAATAGTTTGTTGAACTTAATTAGCAAGAAAAACAGAGTAAGGGTGTTAAATACTCACAGAGGCCGACTATAGGTGGTAAATTCGCAAGCTTTGAATAACTTATTCCCTGCAGTGTGAGATAAAATCGACATGAGATAGTATATGACCCCGATATGTGACATAGAACAAATAATTTTCCTAGCCGTTTAGTTGTGTTTCTGTTTGTAGTTTTTTTGAAAAACGAAGACAATGAAAAATTCTAAAAATGGCCATCATTTTAATATTTATGATTATATATACATATGAATACTCGAAAATAAGTACTGTCATAGTTGCGTTTTCATTTTCTGTCATCTGTTTTTCAGTTTTGGAAAAATACCCAGAAATGTGACATAAAACTGGATAATTTTCCTACATAGCCATATCAGAATATTTTCCTAAAATTGGTTTTCTGCAAACAGGCATTGATTGGAGGAAATTATGGCCTTCTCAACACTACAACATTTATCCCCAATTCGGATTATTACGGGTTAGTCAATATTGAGATTTTCTAAAACCCTTTACTATTTAATAAAGCTGAAATTATCATTTTGACACATTTATTCTATATTAATGTTTGGTTGGCTCTTCTACAGTGCTCTTTTGTGGCATCGCTTAATGGGAAAGATTGTACTTCAGACCACTTATGACAGTTCCCCTTCCACTTAAGAAAGAAGTAAGCGCAATATTCTTAACCTTTTTTAGCTTAATTTCTCTTTCTTCTCAATAATATATCATTTAGCTATCACTTCATTAATTAAATTCATTTACTCTATTTTATCTCAGTCGGGCATTTCACTGCTTCTAATCAACATGTCAAATTCTACTACCTATGAAGTTTCGGTTGCGGATGACTTGAACTTCTATCCTGACAACTATGATGATAACCAACAACAAATCCACAGGGAAGAGTACCACTTGACTCCAACAGATGGCAATATTCAAAGTGATGTGCTGATGTTAAATGGTGTCCCCTTGGTGCTCATAGAGTCAAGGATATACCAGTTATGTATCCAGTGCTCGTGCATGCTTCAAACCCTATCAGTGTTGCACCTGATTCTATTGTTTTTGCAACTCTTAAAGATTTCAAAGCACCAGCTTGTTCTTAGGAATTTTTCTTTATGTCACGTTATTAGAGATCTTTGATTTATTTATTTATTTATTGGGTATATATTTACAAATGGTAATAATGGGATTCTCTTATTTTGTTTCATTTCATCACATTAATCAGAAAATAGAAGTTAAAAACACCATGAAATGTCACATTTCTGGGTATTTTGAATAATGCCCCAGGGCTATGTAGTAAATAATCAGAAAATATTCTCACCTAATAATCAGAAAATTTTCATTTTCTGATATGGCTATGTAGCCATATTCTCACCTAAATATTCTCACCTACATAGCCATATTCTCACCTAAAAACACTTAAATTAGGTGAGAAGTGTTTCATTTTCTGTCATCTGCTATGAAGAATGAATAATGCCCCTGCTCTCATGAGTCATATCCCCAGTTTAAGGTGAATACATAATGAAATGGATTGAAAGTTTTATTACGCATGTATAGACTGACTATGCATTTTTGTGGAAATGATGATAAACAAAAATGAACCCAAGTCAAGGATTTCAAAGCAAACTGAATATGTTTGCAATTAGAATCTCACCTGGAAATTTTTTGCTTTCTTCGCAATCCTTTGAAGGCAAAATCTGAAATTTCAAGCAGAAACTGAATTCATTACCCATCTAATAAAAAACATGCTTACTATATGAATTGATGATGATACATGTTTTCTTCTAACTGGGCTTAGCAGAACTAACAAAATCATGTAAATTAATGATACAGAAAGATGGAAGAAAAAAAAAAAAAGTTGTTCACGATTTTATTAGACATGGAACCCCTAATAACAATATGACAATGGTTATTTAACAAAGAAACAAATCTGAATTCAAACATAAATTCAATAAGAAGATAATTTTTGTCCTCTAAAAATTTCTGAAAGTTCAACAACTGATACCTATATGGAACAAGGCCATAAATAAGTTGCCCACAGCAGAGTACTTTTTATGATATATACCACATGTAAACAAATACATTATTAATGTTTTACATATTTGATAATTGACATACCGATATGGTATTAAAACTTTTCATAAAAGGATGCTTACATCGTGTTCATTAACATGCTCAGATTTAGTGCACATCCATATATAATACACACAATCGTATTCTAACCAAATTAAAGTCAAGTACACCTTGTTCATTATAAAAAAAACTGAATATTCACATATCACAAATTAGCACAACTGTTTAAACTAAGATTAGAAGGGAAAAAAATGGTCTTAAAATGGCTTATTCACACAAATTATTTAATAAAACATATCAAAATTAAACAAATGCAAAGCAGAAACCAATATTGTCTAAAACAGAATTAAATACAGACGAAGCCATTACTTCTTACTTCAAGAATCTGAATTTATAAACTCCAAACATGTCAAAACTAAGTGAAAAACTGACACTATTGAAAATCATATTTCTAATTCAATCAAATCTCCATACCACTATCAGAATATATGTTTTCTTCTAACTGGGCTTAACAGAACTAACAAATCAGGTAAATTAATGATACAGGAAGAATGGAAGAAAAAAAAAAAAAAAACTGTTCGATTTATAGACATGTAACCTATCAACATTGACATGTAATCATATAACAAAAGAAACACAAAATCAATTAAAGAGATAATTTGTCCTCTTAACATTACTGTTATGTAATGAAGAAGAAGAATCCTGTTCGCTTCCGATTCCGATTTTAATATATTATTCAAAAAATATAAAATATTTAAAATATCTAAAATAATCAGTTATACAGTTTCTCTGCGATTGGGGACGGAGTGCCTATTGGTTGAGACTTAATAGGGAGAAGATTAAATAACTCAGATTAATTATATTTATAATTTATAATAAGATTATGTTTATGTTTTTTTATTTTAAAAAATAGTTACTTTGTTAATTTTTTTAAAAAGTGGAGTTTGAGTATTGTGTTATTTCATTAACTTGAATGTTGGATATCAATCATATACCTACAAACAAACAATTTTATGGGAAGAAGAACACAAGTGCAATCATGGTCGATTTCTAGTTGAAAGTAGAAATCAAATCCTCTCATCAATGTTGTTCATATCTGTGTGGGTGTGTTTTGAGTTATTGATTCCTAATATTATTGTTCATACAATTTAACTAAACCATCAATCCATTTCAAATTACCATAAAACCCAGCTTCAGGATCACAACCACTCCAACCACAACATTAAAATAGCTTAGAATCGAATTAGAAGACTTACAGTTTCACCATCTCTCTGCGTTTACTTTGGAATTATTAGAAATTAGAAATCAAATTATTAGAAATCCATTTAACTTGTTTTCTGCATTAAACTCATCAATCCATTTTCAATTTCAGAAATCATAAACCCATCAAACCCATTTCAGAAATCACAACGTACTCAATTTTCAAACAGATATAAAATGCATGACACAATGTCAACCAATAGCTAGTCGTAGTACTATGTAAGTACAAAGTAAGCACAAATTTCAACTTATTGTCTTGTAAACTTTTTGCAATCTAGAATAAAATATATGGGAGAAAGAAAAAGAATATTACACAGTTGCAGCAACTGGTTGCTCACACAACCAATTAGTATTACCTAACGGGTCAATTCAAAAACTATCTACAAAAAAATAAATGCACAAATAGATAAATAAATAAATAAACTTTTAAAGGATACCTGGTTTGGAAATAGTTATTTTATAATTTTTAATTTTTTTATTAAAATATAAGGTAAAAAAATTAATATATTTTGAATAACTTTTTAATTTTTATGAAAAATTGTACAAAAGAGAGAAATTTTTTCTTTTTATTTTTGGTATAGGTCGTTTACTTTTAAATTTTTTTTTTTTGATTTTTTAATTTTAAGCTAAAATATTGAGAGCTAAGACAATGAAATTTTCAAAAGACAATGAAATTTAACTCAATCTCATTAAAGGAAAAATGAATAACTCCATAGAATTGTTCAAATCTCTAGTTACAGAAGCGAATTTAAATGCCAAAGAATGAAAATCAAACTAATAGAATGACGAACCACCACAAATATCTATAAAATTCAATAAAATATCTATATATGTACATACGATTCTCCTCTCTGTATTAGTGTGTGTGTTATAGATTAATCATGCTGCATACTTCTAAGATATCTTTCACAACTCACAAGGTACTATTGTGACTCCTCTTGACTTGTTACATTTAAAAAAAACATATATCTCTGCATTTCCAAATCAAAGAAGATGCAGAGCCATCCCATTGCTATATTTTCTTTCTGTCAAGAGGCTATTTACAATCTCAATTATTGCCTAATTATAGATTTTTTCTTAAATATGTGAAAAACAAAACACAACACCAACAACACCACCATCATCCAAATCATCAATCGACTAAAAACACAACAATTAGTTACCTTACCCGTATTTTCTCTACCACGTTTGTCCTGCTCTTCACCATCGACAGTTACCTCTGTTTCATGAATCTTCTTCTCAACACACGTCTTTTCTTTGAATCCTTCATCTTTTTAGCTTTGCTGCTACTCTTACTCTTACTCTTATTCTAGAATCCTTAACTTTGCTTACTACTCTTACTGTTTTCTTTCTCTCCACTAAACCCCACTTGATTCAATCTTTCTCACCACCACCACCATCGTGTTTCTACTACTTTTACTCTCTCGAATCAACCCAAGCTTTCGACTTGAATTTATCCCCATCAATCCTTGAACTTTCACTTTCAGTAATTAAAAAGGAATGTAACTTCAAACATAGAGAACAACCCATGCATTGCTCTTCCTATCCTACGTAATAAACTCCCAGTGTTCATAACTACCTACCTATCTTAAAACAAAAGCATTGAATGGAAAAAAAACGTTCCACTCTGCTCCCCCAAATGATGAGCTAACCAACATAAAACCCACTCCAAAATGTCTGGAAAGTTGTTTCCTCCAAACCATTTGGGTTCAAATATATTGCACCCGAAATTCTCAGTGGCCATAAATTTAAAGTTAGCAGCATGTTCCTAAAATAATACACATGAGAAGCATCTATAAAGAAGTTACACTTACAGGTATTGCCAGGGCAACAGGATCCACTGGAACATTGAAGGGCTCAGCAGCATCCATTTTCATAACCATCTTAATGACCTGTGAACACATAAGATGATTCATTAATAAATAAGTAAAAATGTTGTAACCACATTTCAAGCAAAGATTGTGTTTACATAGGTGTCAACAAATATGAAATACATGTATATAAAGGTCGTACCCAATGCATACTGCTCCCATTAGACATCAACAACAGGGCGGTTTTTTATTCTTGCTTTTCGTATTGAGGATCCTGATGAAGCGAGTTTGCTTCTTTTTGATGCGTCCTTCCATTCCGCACCTGTTCTGCATTGCTACCTGGTTCTATACTGGAGGCAACTATTCCACCTATTAAAAATAATTTATAAAAATAATTATCAGCAAACCCAAAATAATTTATAGTTTTTTGGGTTATTTATCATTATAAGTTTTTTGGGTTATTTAAAATTTTAATCTGAATTTATATGATGATAAATTTATATGATGATAAATTATTTCACCTGATGAGTTTACATGATGATAAATTCAGATCTTGCTGCTGAAAATAATCAGGTGAAATAACCCAAAAAACTCAGATTAAAATAATCCAATCCACAAGATCTGATAAAATAATCCATCAGGTGAAATAAATCTTCTGTTACAAACCCATCAAGATCTGATAATCCAATCCACAAAACAGAGAGACAGAGAGAGAGAGAGAGGTTTTACTTTCGGGTATGGCGAGGGTTTTGGAGAGAGAGCTTCTCGTATACCAGAGCGTCGAACAGAGCTTCTCGTATACCCTAGAACAACACATTTCAATTTTCTTTTTTTTTTCCCTTACAAAAACCCTTAACAAAAAATCCCAAATTCTACAACAACAACAAAAAACCTAATTTCAATTTTCTTTTTTTTTTTCCCTTACAAAAACCCTTAACAAAAAATCCCAAATTCTACAACAACAACAACAACATCCCAAATCCCAAATTCAATTTGTAGTTATATACCTGGTTCGGGTCGGAGACAGAAGAGAGTCCGGCGGGACTGAGCGGCGAGAAGCGAGACTCGATCGTCGGAGAGAGAGACTCGACTCGATCGTCGGATGGAGGGAGGTCGGTCGGTGACAGCCTCGGTCAGGTCGAAGAGAAGGGTTGTAAGGGAAGGAGGAGTGTGGGTATCAAAGGGTTCGAAGGGTCTTCAATGGCTGTGGTGATGAGAGACACTCTGACAGAGAACGTGGGAGAGAGGGAGCTGAAGACGTGGGAGAGAGGGAGAGATGAACTCAAACGGGTGGGAAATGTATCTCTGATTCATCTTGGCCGTTGATCTAAACTCAAGATTCATCTTGGCCCTTAAAACCAAATGTATCTGTTATACATTTGGGACATTTTCAAAAAGCTTTCTTCCATATTATATAGATATTATGTGTTATAATACAATAGAAAGTCCCTATATATAGGGTGAATAAGAGTAGACAACAAGAAATCTACCAAAAAGAAAGTCCTAAATAACGAAGAAATATAATAGAAATAATAATCTTAGGGCTCATGTCATGTATATACATGAACAGTTTGAAATCCACTTCTCCCATCTATATAAAAAAAGGGGAATGATCCGGGCCCCAAAACCCCCAGCACCCCCACACTTTTGTGAGAGAGGGGTGAAGACAAAAAAGAAAAAAAAAAAGAAAAAATATAATGTGTGGTCACAAATCAATTGGAGGTTGTGGGAGTCAAAAATAATGAGGGTCTCAAGTATTTTTCATAAAAAAATGAGGGACGTGGTACAAGATGAAACAAGTAAAAGTGTTAGGTTTGAGTCTTACCCTCTTTTTTAATCTTCTTTTTTTTTCTTTTTTTTTTTATATTGAGAAATCCATTTAGCACGTAGAGAAGTCAAGGCTTTATAACACTAATATAGGTGTTCACTTTATATATATATAAAATATAATATATAATATAGTAGAGATATTAGCTGGTGATCAACTCCTCAGTAATTATATTGCAGACCTTTGTGGTTCAACAAGGTTTTGTTGTAGTGATGATTAGTATTATCATGCATTGTCATCCTTTTTTATTAATATATTCTAATATTTTGTAAAAAAAAATTATACATTTTGTGAGTGTCAAAGTAGAAATCACAAGAATTATTTGATGATTTTAGTATTTTTACAAAAAGATTTGATGACTGCTATAATTCCAAAAATTTTTAAGCTACGGTTGGGCCTTTCCATCAAATCAAATAGAAAACTCCGAAATTGTCATTCTAGGAACCCAGAATATGTGATTGATCAACTATTGCGGTTCAAGTAGCTATTCTCTTCCCTTTTTTTCAAACTCCCATTTGTATTGAAAGGGTTGGGCTAAAAACTCTTCTGTTATGTTTGATTTATAAATTTGGATAGAAATCTAAAAATAAAAGACAAAAAGTGAATAAAATATAATTACATTTCACTTATATTTTGCATACATTTTCCTATCCAAATCGAAAAACTAAACATAGCCTTAAGTTCTAGACAAATGTTTGAGACTTCTAAAATGTCCACTCAAGTTGATCTACAATGATGTGTCATGATAGGTATCCACATTTGATTTGTCACACCCTCAACCATATAGGATCTAACACCCTTTTTTTTTATCAGCAAAAAGAAACTTTATTGATGAAGAAAGCAAGATACATGTGAAACTTATATCAACAAAGAAGGAAAGTGCAAAAAGCATCATAACTAACCAAATCAATATCAACTAAGTTGACACCGATGAGGTAGCACAATCAATATCAACTAACCAAATCAATAACTAACCAAATCAATATCAACTAAGTTGACACCGATGAGGTAGCACAATCCTATGCTAGCACTAAATCCAAGATTGGTGAGGAACCAATCAAAAGAAACAAAAAGAGAGGAAAGGAAAAAAAACAACAAATAGCCAGAGCACACCCATAGCCAGGCCAGTAGCAACATCAGATCCTAAACTGAGAAATCAGCAGCACACCACAAACACTCCTAGATCCCAGACACAGTAGCAAAATCAGCAACCATTTGGACTATACTAACATACAGTAACACCATCTGAACTACAACAAAAACAACAACAACTACAACAACTTCACACCACAGCATTGCAGCAGCAACACTTCCTCAGCACCAGCAAAGTCCAAGCTCCAAACCTCTCAGCTGCTCCTGCTTTTCCAGCATAAGTAGCCTAGCAAACTACAGACCCCTTCAAATCCATTCAACTACTATGACACCCTAAACTGAACCACACCAGTAATGTCACGACCCAAACCTGCCCCCTAAAAGTTTGGACATGACTGGCCTGACTTGAGGCCTTGATTTAATTATTTTAAATGTTACTCAATCTTGGGGCCTGGACGGAAGCAAAATAATAGAAGAATAAACATTCATTAAGCTGTGTCTAGATGCCAGGATCATGTTGCATTACCATATATATACAAAACGTTCCAGGTACCATTCACATTACAGAATGCGAAAGGGAATCAACTCGTAAGTTAAGTTTTAACAACACCTACATACATATTTATAGTTCCCAAAAATGATAATAAAATATGCCATCATAGGGATTTTCCAAAATATAACAAAAGAGTCAGTTTGGGTGACTTAGCAAAACGGGTTCAGCTATAGGCTTCAGGGCTGACCTAGGGTTGACCTGCAAGCTGGTTACCTAGAAAACATTTAGAAAAGTAGAGTGAGCAAAGCCCAGTGAATGATAGTAGTACAAATAAATTAAAGGTACAAACATGAGTTAACATTGCATATTCACAATTCATAATCTCACTCATTTTTTCTTTTCTGAACGGCCTTCGGCCCATATAAGACAGAACGACCTTAGGCCCAATAGAATACAGAGCGGCCTTAGGCCCAATAGAGTACAGAACGGCCTTAGGCCCAACAGAATACAAAACGTCCTTAAGCCCAACAGAATACAAAACGGCCTTCGGCCTATCGTAGTACAGAACGGCCTTAGGCCCATCATGTTAACAAAATAGCCTTAGGCCCACCATATTAGCAAACAGAACGACCTCAGGTCCATATGTCACGTGTTAAAGTTCAAACATATATCAAACGTATCGCATATGGCATAAGGTACTCATAGACTGAATAAGATCTTAATTAACATATATTAACACAAAACGTTAACAGAGCATAATATTACGTTACTATCACTCACAGTGATGTAGGTGAACGCTGGTTCCCTCTTGCGGATGCCCTACACAGAGCGCATAAAGCGTAAGTACATCACCTTTTCTTAATTTTCCTTCATTTCTTATTTTTCACTTCGCTATGTTTCATGTAATTAAATACACCATAGGAGCATCAAACGGGCATAACAACATGTTCACAGAGTCGAGAAGAATGAGAGAAAATTACAGAGTTTTCCCAACTTGGGCCGCACGTGTGGAAATCCCCGCTGCACGTGCGGGAAGGTGCGCCGCATGTGCCTTTTTAGCAGAATACTTCCAACCTTCTCCCTTGTTTTCTGCACGTGCGGCTGTGCCTCCCGCACGTACGGCCATGGGCCCCGCACGTGCGGTCGTTTACCCTGTTTTTTCTGTCCGAAACTTCAACAATTCCAAGTGCACAAGGGGTAGTCACATAGCCAAATTCAAGGTAGATGCACACCAAAAACATAGCATATAAACATATAAACACAAAATTCTAGTCCTTTGGCCTTTACACCTCAAAAGTTCCATGATTCCCTCACTCATACTATGTAAATATACATGTGCAATGTCTAGCTTTCCATTTGTGTGAATTCAAACATACAAAAGAGTGAGATTAGACACAACATAGAGAAATCAAGTGACTAAGTTTTCCCTTGTACATATTTAAGAGGTACACGGTCATTTATAAGATTCAATTCTTCCCAATCATAACCCTAACTTTCATGGCATAAGGATACTTCAAGTCAAAACTTAGTTTCGAGGAATTGAGGATTTACTAATGATCTATACTCACCTTCAATTGGATTCTTCAATTGTTCCTAGCAAGTTCTGGAATCCCCAATTCTTGTGACTTTCCTCTTTTTCCCTTTTCTTTCTTTCTTTTTCAAGATTCTCAAGGTTTTCCACTCAACATATATATATATATAAAGAGATGAGTTCAAAGAGGAGGTTTATATAACACATAGATAAGTTTTTAATTTCTAAACTTGCCAAACGAGCCCTAGCGAATCAGAAAAAATAAATTTTCAATTAAACCTCCCAGGTATCTTTAAAAATTCCCACTAGCATGTTTACATGCTTAATTTCAACTTATCGCGCCTCTACGGCTTTAAATTTCTAAGGTAACATTTTAATTTTAACAAATGTGTTCCAATATTCAACAGATAGATAACATAATCAAACAATTCCCACATGTAAGCATAACTTTGCATGAAATTTCACATTAAACATGTCATATCTCAACTAGGGATGTAAAGCATATAAGAGGGTCGGGCTATTACAAGTAACACCCCAACAATAGGACCCAACAACACTTTTATCCCAAACACTATCTAAGCTGATGTAAATTAATCACCATATCTTGAACTAAGTACTGTAACCCTGCAATATTACTCTTTGCCCAAAAAGCTATCTTGTACTTCACTAAATCTACTAGCGCAACAAAATTAGGAAGTCTCCCAGTGAACACCTTCTCATTCCTCAGCTTTCACACTGACCGCAACATTACAAGTGGCACCAAGATCTAGATTTTCCTCTCATTCTTCTTGAGTTTCACCCCAACCCACCATTGTAACAAAGCTTCAACTGTACATGGTACCACCCAATACATATCCCACCAGTTTAGTAATTCAGACCATACCCTCCATACCGGTGGGCAATGAAGTAAAACATGACTAATTGATTCAATTGCATTTTTGCATAATGGACACAAGACACTAACCTGATCATCCAACACACCAATCCTATGTAAAAACTCAGCAGTCTTTACTCTTCTCCTCCAGGCTAACCACCCAAAGAATTGCACTTTTGGTGGAGCCACAGACTTCCACAGCCTTTTAGCAACACACAGAGCAGGTCCCTTATTAACTTGAAGCCACTTCCACACAGATGCCATTGTGAACTGGCCTGAAGAATTCACCCCCCAATGCAAATAATCAACCAAATTCCCATTCTCGACAAGGCCATCATTCAACCAATCTCTCAACCTGTATACCTCTTCTTCTTCTCAAACTCTTAATTATCTTCAAAACCTTAAACTCCACTGTCCTGACCTTGCTCTTTGCTGCCTATACTGCATGACCAAACCCTTATTGTTCACTGATAACTAAAACAATCTTGGGAATTCCTCCATTGGCACTCTATTGTTGCACCACTTATCAATCCAAAATTTAATTCTTTCCCCATTCCCAGTCCTTACTTTTGCATTTTCCAAATAGAACTTTACCATCAGTGG